AGGACTCTGGTAGAGATAGTAGAGAGTACTGTTTTGTAAACACAAGACATAAAAGATTTTTGTGTAAGCCTTAGCATGAACATGCATGCTTAACCTGCTAGCAAAATCTTCATTTATAAAATGCAAAGGGAACCTGTGGCAGATTCTTCCATCCAGGTACTTACCAGGCCAGACCCTGTTTAGATTCCGAGATCAGATGAGATTGGATACTTTCAAGGTAGCTGTGGCAGTGTTAATTGTCCTGATGTATGTAATATTTCATAATGTACTTTTCTTAAAATGAGGCATTTATTGACTAAACAAAATGTATTGCAAAGTAAATATTCATTTGCTTACAGTTGTCATTTGCACACTTTTTTTTCGTTTTCACTGTGTTGGAGCATGTTCACTACAATTATTTTATCAGTTTCTCTAGGACCCCTTTCTTCAAGCATGGTGCTAGACATTGGTGAGGATTCTTTCTCGTGATGTAAAAGTGTGTACTATCCTGTGGCGTTGTGGATTAGTGTGCTGGACTGCAAAGTCATTTTGAACTTCAGGTGGTTCAAACTCACCAGCTGCTCCTTGGAAACCCTATACGGGTCATTATGAGTCGGAACCAACTTGATGGCAACATTTTAAGTTAGAAAAACTCACACTACATTGTCACACTTTCAGAAAACCATTTGCCTTTTATTCCAGCTCCTGTCACCAACATGTTGTATAGTATTTGTCAAGTTGAAGAAGTCTTGTATTGGCTCGAGAGAGGCCTTCCATGTACATTATCATTGTGCTCATGTGTCAACTTTGTTTTTCATAGCCGATCAAAGCTCCAGAGTCCGTCTCTACCATAATCACTGCAGAGTCGATCTTCTACAAGGTAGGCATCTATAGAGTTAAGGAAGAGTTGGGCCTATCACTGAATATACTACTAACATGCTGGATTGGTATAAAGGTTACTGCTACTCGGTAAACACTATGCTTATGCTTGTTGTTCTGTTCTAACTTAAGAAGGGGCTTCAAGAAGTTCATGGAAAAATAGAATTACATTTGTGTTTTCCCCCTATCGGTAGCTGTTAACATTCAGAGCTGAGGTGGGAGGGAAGCTGCCCATGAAAAGATGATGTACAGTCTTACATGTTTCTTTAATGTAGAGGATGGGAATTGTTCTGTTTTGTTTTCATGGAAGTTAATTTTAGGGAGCTGGGGAAAAGCAAGCCTTCCTGAGTCAGTGTGGTGGCATTGAAGTGTGAGAGAGATGATCAGAGGACATGGGATGTTCAGTGGGCAGAGTCAGTCCGGAGAGTCTCACCATAAGCAGAGGTGACAGGAATTAGGGCGATCATGGGAACTGACCCCTACTAAAAGTCTATGGTGAGAGAAGCTAAGATATCTTGATAAAGGAGTGAGAAAGTCAGGATTTTGATGATCTTAGAGCGAAGATATATTGTTGTTTTTTAACTAGCAGCCTTAGCAAGGAGTTGGAGCATAGCTAAAACCACCAGGCCTGCTTTAAGCAGCAACCACTAAAGGTGGTTTGGTACTCTGGAGTCTAAACTGTCAGGGGCAGTGATGTGTGTTACTGTTTTATACCTAGCCTAAGTAGACCAAACAGCAGTACTTTCAAGTTACGATGTTATTTGAGTGCATTTTTTGTTATTAGCCCAGATCTATATAGTCTAAAGCAGTCTCTAGACAGGCATTTCTCAGGTATTTCCAGCGTTTCATATTAAATGAAATCGCTAACAGGAGCCTTGTAGCGAGCACTGAGCTGAGCATTTAACATGCTTTATTTCCTTCCTTCACCACCATGATGTGGGTCCTGTTATGCTCATCTTGTGAATGAGGACATTGAGGCACAGATGAATTGATTTATCCAAGATCACACAGCTAACAAGCCACAGGGAGGCAGTCTGATGCCAGAGCCTAAGCCCAGAGCTCAGATCCTGGCTCCACTACATGGACAAGTGATTGTGTGGTTGGGCCAGACTCAACCTCTGTAAGTCTGCTTTCTATCTGTAAAATAAGGATTGTAAATAATAGCTACCTCACTGGACCAAGTGAGATCATGAATGTTAAGCACTTAGCTGAGTAAATCCTCTGTGCGTGGTAGAAATGATCATCACTTCTTTACATGTGTGAGTTATCTTCCCAGCTGAACACCACTTACAGGTTAAGTCCAGAAGTAAGTGGTTGAGCTAACGATTTAGTGACTTCCGTGCTCATCTCATTGGAAAGGCATGTGGGACCTGTTATTGGAAATATCACTACTTTTACATTGCTGTCTGCCATCTTTATTAAAGACAAAACGCAGCAAAATACTCAAATAATGCTGTAGACTCCAGGTGTTGTGGAGGATATACAGCAGTACTGTTGTGAGCAAGCTTGAGAAGTCTCTACCAGCTGCTGTACTGCATTTCAGATCAGTCATGTGAGGGAACTGATTGGGAACCCGGTGTGACAGCCAAAAGTGTGGGTCTCTTGGTGTGGTGCTGTAGGATCAGCACTGCACTGCAAACTACAAGGTCGGAAGTTCAAACCCACCAGCTGCTCCTTGGAAACCCTATACCGGGTCACTATGAGTCAGAACTGACTCGATGGCACTCAACAGCAACAACAAAGACCTGGAATGGTTACATGACCTCCCCTGTGTGGCAGAACAGCTCTGTAAGTCCAGATTTAGTGACTCTAGCCAGTGTCCTTTACCTTATTGTGTCAGTCCCTTCTCTCTGCTAAAGACTCTAAACCTCCAGCACATGAGGGGTGAGGAGAGCTTGGAATAAGTTTTATAGTTCTGTGTGCTGTTATATGTATATAAATACATAGCTCCCCAACCATGGAGGCCAAGGGATAGACACTGTTGGCATCTTCCACTAAGACACTATCTTTGTATTGCTATTCTGCCTCCACACTATTGCATATTTTGGATTAATATTCAGCATACAAGGGGGCTTCAAAAATTCGTGGAGAAATTCCATTATCTTCCAATTCCATTTTCCATGAACTTTTTGAAGCCGTTTCATAATATTTGAGTGCCTGTAATAAGCAAGAATTGATTTTTCATGTGTGTGAGAGAACAAAGGTAATAATTTATAATTTGGGAATAATGATTATGCATATGGACAAAGCAAACCATAAGTACAATTGACTTATATGATAAATAACTTCAGAGCTTTGCAGAATGGGCTGGGAAGAAGGACCAACTATGAATGGCCATGATCTAGCAAATACTGACCCATGGCCTGTTCACTGTACCAGACCATAGTGATCCAGATTCATTTTCACTCTTAGACACAGAAAAGAGGCCTACCAGGAAACAGTTGTGTCCTATTGGACACTGTTGTTAAGTGTCATTGAGTTGATTCCGGCTCATAGAAACCCTATATAGGGTTTCCAAGGAGCAGCTGCTGGTGAGTTTCAGCTGCCAATCTTGGCTGTTCAAACCGACCATAAGGGTGAATGCTTATCCTGTGGCACCATACCACGGCTGCCAGGAGTCATTTCTTCCGATGGTTTTGTGGTTGCGGTGTACACCCAGTAGCTTCACCTGCTGCCAAGTCCTGTTTTGCTGGAAGCAATAGTAACTCAGACCCTGTCACTGCAGACAAGTGAAGTAGGGCCTCTGGAGAATTGCACCCACCTATGGAAGCGCCCAGTGACAAAGGTAAGAGTCAGCATATGGATGTTCAGAAGAAGAGGTTCTGTCCAGCTCCAGACCAGGAAGGGAGGATATGAACTAGAAGAGCAGAGGCAGAGGAAGAGATGTTAATTGCTGTCAAGTTGATTCCGACTCACAAGGACTCTCTATAGGATTTCTGTGGAGTGGCTGGTGTAAGGGCGAGGAGTGAGGCTCGGTTTAGTTTTAAGGTTACAGTTTGGTTTGGTTTGTTTTTTTCTTGAAAGCTACTTAATTTCCTCTTCATGTGGAAGTTCTGTAACTACATTATTCCCTTTTACTTTATGAGTTTGTTGTTGTTGCAAACTGGTTATCTCTGGTATCTTATTTTCAGTCTTGTAGGTTTGAATGAGTCTATATCTGTGTTGAGTTCTAGGTGATATTGTCATGTATGTTAATCTCAGGTTGTTGTCTGTTACTGTTGGTTCTCTTTCCAAAGAACTCCCTTTGGTATTGTAAGGTTGATCTGGTTTTAGCATACTTTTAATTTCTGTTTATCAGGAAATGACCTAATTTTACCATCATATTTGATGGACAGTTTTGCTAGGGATATTTTGATTTTTGATTGGCAATTTTTTTCTTTCAGAATTTTATATATATCATCCCATTGTCTTCTGGCCTGCCTGGTTCCTGCTGAGAAATCAGAGCTTAATCTTAATAGTTTTCTTTGTAAGTAACTTTTCATTTTTCCCAAGCTGCTGTCAGGATTGTTCCTTGTCTTTAGTTTTGAAAAGTTTGATTATAATATGTTTTGGTGGTTTTCTTTTGGAGTTTATCCTGTTCAGAGTTTCTTTAAGTTCTTAAATGACTATCTTCTCATTTTTCAAAATGTTAGCAAAGTTTTCTTCTGATACATCTTGGACAATTTTCTCTGTTGTTTTTTTTTTTTTTTCCTTCCTTTGTAGAATTCCAGCAAATCACACAGAAGTTATTGTTCTTGAGAGTCTCCGGCATAAATATTAGGCTTTCTTTGAATTTTTTTGTTCGTTTTTCTGATTGTACCTCTTGCCAGATGAATATTGAGAGATACTGTCTTCAAACTCACAATGCAGCCTTCCATTAATTTAGTTTTAGTTATTTGCCTCTTCAGTATATTATCTGTTTCTGAAGTCTTAGGATTCACCTTCAGGCTTTCTAATTGCTTTTTCGTATGGTTTCCAGTTTTTTCATTTATTTTGTCCATTTTTTCTTGTAGTGTTTTCCTGAATTCTTCCCAAGTTTTGCTTGATTTCATCTGCAGTTTTCTTGAATATTTTCTTAATTCATAGAAAGTACCTAAATGCCATTCTTTTAAATTCCTTTTTAAGTAGTTCCAATACCATTTCTGGTACTATGTTTTCTGACTTCATTTTGTTCACTTGTTTGAGGTTCTCTGCCTTATTTCTTCTTGGAAGCTTGAATTGTCTATTGTCTCCATGACTTTGTCTTACTTATATTTGATAGATAAATGTTGGTGAATTCTCCACCATGTCCCATGGTGGATGTGATGGAGACTGGAATTGTAATCACAGTTCTCTGTTGGCTGTTTGTGTGGCCTATAGTTTAGGGGCCTCCAGATACAGGCATGGTATTCCTGGCTCCCAATCCCAGTCAGAGTAGAGGCTGTTCAGGAGAGGTTGTCACTGGGTTGGCAAAGACAGGGTCTGGCCATGCCCCCAGCTACCAGGAGGGTGGGAGAACAAGGGAAAACTGCATCCCCATGCTGCCAACTTCCAGCCACGTCCTCTGTCACTAGGCCGCTGTACCAACAGCCTGTACAAAAGCCCAAGATGGCCAGGCCCCTGACTTGCCTGCCCGTTTTTCTTCTCTTGCTGTTCCTGCTCAGTTTCCTCATCCAGTCAGCACTCAGAGGCCCTCTCTCTGCCCTCCTCTGAAGCTAGCATTCCAGGATCACCACCTGTATCAGTTTCACTTTGTCTCCCATGTCCTTATTGCGGAGGTTATGCTCTGCGTGTCTGCCTACTCTGCTGTCTTGCCAGAGAAGTCTCCATTATCTTTTAGTTGTGTTTTTCCATGAACTTTTTGAAGCCCCCTTATACGTGGTAAGTTGGTAGTAAACGTGTCCTAAAGATTGACTGGAGCTTAAAAAGTTTCAGTCATTTTAAAATTTGAATTATGTATCTTACTTTCTATAATGGGTGGTTTGTGAGGGAAGTGGATAGAATATATTCTCACCAGTTAGACCTTTATCTTGAAGATAACACAGAAAAAGAGCACTAAGTGGGTGTAGCAGTTTGGCCTACTGTCTACCTCACGTGGTTCTCAGCACGTCACTTACCTTACCCACAGCTTGTGTCTCTGGCTAAGTGAGTGGGGGTAGAACTGTTGTGATATAAAAGCATAGACATAAATTTTTCATTCAAAAGTGAAAGTTGGCACAGTCTTTTAAAATTGACTCATGCAACCTTCTCAGAGCTCTTCATTGACCACTATGAAACCATTGCTTTAATAATAAGGACCTTTCTGTTCATACCTGTGGTACTGTTTTTTATTTGAAATAGGGAATTATATTCTCTTTCCCCCAGGGAGTGTATTACCAAATTGGAGATGTTGTGTCTGTGATTGATGAGCAAGATGGAAAGCCCTACTACGCTCAGCTCCGGGGTTTCATTCAGGATCAGTACTGTGAGAAGAGCGCAGCTCTGACCTGGCTCATTCCCACGCTCTCTAGCCCCAAAGACCAGTTTGACCCTGCGTCATATATCATAGGTAAGTTTCTTGGTATAAATAGCACAGGTTCTTGAACACAGTTAAGTCTGTTATTGATATAAATTTTGAAGTATTCTAGTTTTTTTTTTTAATTACCCTCAGCTTTTCAACCTTTCTGCAATGAGTACGCATTATTTTTTCATGGTGATGGAAAATATATAAATGTGTTTTCAAAGAGAATCCAGGGACAACTACTATTCCACTGTTATTTACACCTTCATGGCAAGTTGTTGCATGAGCAAAGGGTTCACTCTCCTGTTTACAAGTACGTAACCGTGCCCATTGCCCTCAAGGCACTTCTGATGCAGAGTGACCCCAGACATGTCAGAGCTGTGCTTCACTGGACATTTCAGTGGTTCTTTGGAGGATGAGCACCTGGGTTTCTTCTGAGATTGCTGAGCCCTTTTCTTGAACCATCCAGGGACCTGTTGTAAGTTCACTGTTAGGATTATTGTTGTTGTTAGGTACTGTACAGTCCGTTGACTCTACTCCATCAGCCGTAGCACATAAGACTAGAATTTTAGCTTTGTCTTCTCTAGGGCAGGATTCTCTGCACAGGCAGTGATGTGTCAGAGTTACCCTTGGTGCTCCCCTCCCACCTCCTCTTCCCAATCCCCAACAATTCCAATATGCTTCCCTCTTCCAGTGGAAAGGAAGCCAGTGGTGCTGTGGTTAAGCACCTAGCTTCTAACCAAAAAGTTGACCGTTCAAACCCACCAGCTACTCCTTGGCAAAAAGATGCGGCAGTCTGCTTTCACAATGATTTACAGCCTAGAAAACCCGATGGGGCACTTTTACTCCATCCTGGTGTAGTGCTGGAGGGTAAGCACTGCACTACTAACCACAAGGTCAGCGATTCAAGCCCACCAGTTGCTCCTTGGAAACCCTATACAGGTTTGCAATGAGTTGGAACCAGTTAGAATCAGCACTTAACAGCAACAACAAATAGGGTTGCTATGAGTTGGAATTGACTCAGTGGTAATCGGTTTCCAGAGAAGGCTACATACAGAGGTTAAGAGCAGTGGCTCTGAAGTGAGACTATCCGGTTCATAGCCATAACTAGTTGTTTGACCTAGGACAGGGTCCTTAGGCTCTCTCTTACTTAATGGGAATAATCATTTCTACCTCTGAGCTATAAAAAGGAGTCAAAGTATTGATAGACATGAATGTTGAGAAAAATAGCTGGTATATAGTAAATATTATATAATTGCTAGGTATTGTTTTTAAAATTTTTTCTATACTGAGTCACTCTTTTGGGGGAGAAGGTTATGTAAACTGATTAAAGTAGAGAACCCGGGAACCACTAATGGAGAGAAGCAAGCGTATGCTCCAAGGGCTTATGACAGCTCACTCACTCTGGCAGTGCTGCCTTCTTGTGAACTGCTGTCAAGTCGGTTCTGACTCTGAGTGACCCTGTATAGGGTGTCCGAGGAGCAGCTGGTGGGTTTGAACCTTGCAACTCAAACTGACCTTGTGGTCCAGTGTATTATCCAACTCCTAGTGTCCAGGAATTTAATATTTTATGAAAATATGTGTTTATGTTGTTGTTACATGCCATGCCATTGGGTCAATTGTGACTCATAGCGACCCTGGATAGGGTTTCCGAGGAGTGACTGGTGAGCTGAACCACCAACCTTGCAGTTTAAACTGACTTTTTAGTCCAGCGCATTAACCCACAGTGCTACACCAACCAGGACTTACATATGTTATATATGGTGTAGCACTGTAGAATCAGCTTTGGAACTAGACTTTAAACCACAAGGTCGACGCCTGAAACCCACCAGCTGTTCCTTGGAAACCCTATACAGCGTTGCTATAGTCAGAACAACTTGACAGTACTGAACAGCAATATCTATATCTGTGTGTGTGTATTCAAAACTGTACTTAAAACCTTTTTGTTAACTGCCTTTTAGGCCCAGAGGAAGATCTACCAAGGAAGATGGAATACTTGGAATTTGTTTGTCATGCACCTTCTGAATATTTTAAATCACGATCTTCACCGTTTCCCACCGTTCCCACCAGACCAGAGAAGGGCTATATATGGACCCATGTTGGACCTACTCCTGCAATAGCTATTAAGGAGACTGTTGCCAACCATTTGTAGTTTAAAGATTAGAAATGGGTGTCCAGTTACATTTCTCTAATGAGACTGTTAGATGGTAAATGACATAAAAAAAGTTTTTTCCCTGTGGCTCCATATGATGAACACTGGACTGCAAAATACAAGGCCCGAGGTGTGAGTCCACTAGCCACTGCACAGAAGAAAGATGAGGCTTACTGCTCACCGTGAAGATGAAGAAGGAAGCCTTGTGGGGTCTCTCTGACTCAGAACTGACTCAGAGGCACTAACAGCAACAACAACAACCCAGTTATCGCTAGTTTGTTTATTATGAGTCACATGGAAAAGTAAAAATGATAGTAGAGAAAGAACATGTTGAATTTAAATATTATATTCCATCTGTATATCTTCCCAAGCAAAACCTGTCATTTTTAGGGGAGAGCAATAGGAGCAAATAGTAGCCATTTTTCCCTCAATTTATTTCTAGAACCCATCATAAAATCAGTTTTAATTTTTCATAGCAACAAAATAATGTTTAATGTTTAGATTTCTGATCATGAACTTACAACCAAATAAAATGCAGATAAAATTTATAAGGCACATAAATCTTAATTTCCTCACCTGGAAAATCTGTAACAGACTTCTCAAAAGTTATCATTTGGTGCTTTAAGGAAATGATTGGTAGATGATTTATTGGCCCAGAGTTTTAAAAACTTAGCATCTAATTCTTTTGTAGCAAACGGTGTGTTAAAATCATTCAGTTGATCTTAATTGTTTTCAACTGTTTTCTCAGTCAAAATGAGGCTTTCAAATTAAAGTGTAAGATTTTACAGTCCAGACATCAGCTTCCTTAAAGCCATCCAGGAAACATGTACTGTTCAGACTTCCCACATGATGGTACCTGGAACGCTAGGTTCTTAGTCCTGATTGCTTATAAAAAGTTCTACCCAAAGTTAAACCATCTACCAAGGACTTAAGGCTCAACACTGTATCCTGAACTTTAAAGACTTAACTGTATATGAAATTTTGCAGGTGAGTTAAGTGAGAACCCAACAACATAGAAATGGTGGAGGTTGCTTTCTGCAAATTTAACTAGCATTTTTTAACACCAGGCAAATATGTCAGAACCTGATCTAATTTTTTGCTGTAACTCTTTTAACCTTTTTTTTTGCACAGTTGTTTGTGTGTTGGACAGGAACAACTGTACATCAGTCTTAAAATAACCCTATACATATCAAAATAACAGTTGCTCTCAAGTCAGCTCATACATAGGGACTCCATATATGTTAGAGTAGAACTGTGCCCCATAAATGTTTTCAATTGTTGATTTGGGGGAAGCAAATTGGCAGGACATTCTTCTGAAGTTCCTTGGTGGATTTAAACTTCCAGTCTTTAGGTTAGCTGCTGAACATTTACTGTTCTCACCACCCAGGAACTCATTCTGTGTACATTTGTTGTTAAAGTACTTTCGAGTCAGTTACAACTCAGCGACCCTGTGTGCTGACTCAGTGATCATGTATAGGGCTTCCAAGGAGCAGATGGTGAGCTTGAACCACAAACCTTGTGGTTCAAACCAATGTGGTCCAGAGCATTAATCCACGGCACCACACTAGGACTCTAGCGACCCTGTATAGTTTACCTGTATATTAACGAGTCACCATAAAATTGATTGTAAATACCATTGTATATTGCTTTCTGAATGCTAATGTTGAAAATTTTTGGATTAAAATATTTTTCACAATGTACCTACTTTGGATTTATTTCATTTAAACAATTTAAAGAACTTCCTACTCCAAAAATGTCATAACTAGGAAAACCAAAGTTGTAGCCATCAGAATTGGAAGTGACAGATTCATCATCAGTACATACTGCCCAACTGAGGGACTACTGGGTTTTACTCCATACAAATTTAGAACATTACACAAAAACTGCTTCTTGAACCCTCACAAGGAAGATAAAAGACACTGAGTGTCATAGTTAGTAATATGAGAAATACCATAAATAGGTAACTTCTAACAAAATTAATTTTCTCTAGGAGCTAGAGGTCTCTCTTCTTTGCTGACTCTACTTACAAGCATGATGTCCATCTGCAGGGACTGATCCCTCCTGATAACATGTCCAAAGAATAAGAGGCAAAATCTTGCTATCCTCCATTACAAGGAGCATTCTGACTACTTTCAAGATTTGTTTGTTCTTCTGGCAGTCCATGATACTTTGAATATTCTTTGCCAACACCATAATCCAAAGTCGTGAATTACTCTACAGTCTTCCTTATTCATTGTCCCAAGTTTCACATACATAGGAGGCTGTTGAAAATAATCATGACAGGTCAAGTGCACCTTAGTCCTCAAAGTGACAGGTTTGCTCTTCAACACTTTAAAAAGGTCTTTTGCAGAAGATTTGCAGAATGTAATACAATGCTTGATTTCTTGACTGCTTCCATGAATGCTGATTGAACCCAAGCAAAATGAAGACTGACAACTTCTGTCTTTTCTCCATCATTTATCATGATGCTATCCATTAATCCAGTTGTGAGCGTGAGCATTTTTGTTTTCTTTACATTGTGGTGTACTCCATACTCTAGGTCATAGTCTTTGATCTCCATCAAGTGTTTTTAAGTTCTCTGTGCTTTCAGAAAGTGCATCTGTATTTAACAGGTTAATGAGTCTGCCTCCAATCCATGTTCATCATACACTTCAGTTTCTCAGATTATTGGCTGAGCATACAGATTAAATATGGTTCACACCTTTCCTAATTTTAAGCCAATCAGTATCCTCTTGTTCTATTTTAACAACTGCTTCTTGGTCTATGTTCAGGTTCCTTGTGAACACAATTAACTGTTCTGGAATACCCATTCTTCACAATGTTATCCATAGTTTATGATCACACACAAATGTTTGCATAGTCATTAAAGCACAAGTAAACATCATTCTGGTATTCTCTGCCCATCAACTGAAGAATGGATAAACAAACTGTGGTACATACACACAATGGAATATTATGCTACCTTGAAGAATAACAAAGAAGCTGCAAGCCACCGCATAACATGGATGAACCTTGAGGACATCATACTGAGTGAAATTAATTCGTCAGTCACAAAAGGAGAAATACTGCATAGGAACTCTACTGTAATAGACAAAGAAATATGTTGCGTTCTGAAGGGGGGAGGGAGTTCTTTGCTGTTACTGGTACGTGTGGGGTGGGGTGAGGGAAGGGAAGGTGGAGCACAGGGCAGGGAATAGTCACAGGATAGTTTGGGTGCTAGGGAGGAGGGCAATACACAAGAAGGGGGAGGGGAAAGGAAGAACATAGCAGACGGAAAAACAATTTGATTTGCATGGGCTAAGTGGGACAGAGGTAAATAATGATGTATGCACAACTTTGGACCAACAGGGCTCTGGGATACAGGGATTGAGACATGGTTTGACTGGGCAAAAGGGGGGAAATAGTGTTTAGATGCTCGGCTGTCTTTTGAATCTTGGTATACCATTATAAAATAGACACTTGAAGGGGTGAGATAGGAATAGCCAGAAATACCACCATAGAAAGCTTGTAAGTTCATCTTCTGCCTATAACTGATTGGAATACCTAAAATGGGGCTACAATTTGCCCAGTGAAGGAGACTTCTGTGGAGCCTCTGCATTACATAGGACCATAGGTGGAATCCTGAACCACATCCAGAATCTTCTGAGGTGGGAAATTTCCACTTGAAAGGACAAGCAGACCAGCCTGGAGTGGCTAGAAGAACAGAGGATACTTCTTGAAAGAAAGACTGACAGGAAAAATAACAAAACAATAGAGGCAGTCTGACTGATTACTACAAGAACAAGCAAGTTGCTTGCCCAGGAGACATCAAAGCAAGTGGTCAGGTCACCTCAGGGCAAACCCCCTTCCAAGACTAAGAATCAATGGGAATACATTCTCTGATGGGTGACCACATTCGTCACTGATAAGGGGAAGTGAGGGAAAAACAGCAATGAAGCTGCGAGCTAAGCCCTACAAACTCCTGTGAACCCGGGTGGAGACCTGGTTGGCCAGCAGTGTGGCAAGACCTGGGGACTCTTAGGTCCAGAGGCAGTGACATAGCCACAGAGGACTAGAGTGGAGAGTGAAGCATCCATCTGATAAGAAGAGAAGTCATATGCATAAGAACACCCACACTTGCAGATAATACCCACTTGAACTGGCTTCACTGACTGGATGATCAGAGCTCAACTAGAAGAAGAAAGAAGAGGGGTAAAAAAGAGTAATCTGATGTAATTTGATGAACTTGACCTACACCTATGGATGCAGTAGCTCAAAAGAGGAAACAAAGCTTTACAGCGAGGATCATTCCCACCCCCTCCATATACAGAGTAGACAGGGATGGGCAACTTGGACATTGGCTACGCAAAATGGGGTGGGGGTGGGGGTCTACAAAGTCAAGAAAGGAGCTCTGGTAGCGTAGTGGTTATGAATTGGGCTGTGAACCTTAAGGTCAGCAGTTTGAAACTACCAGATGTTCCGCGGGACAAAGATGAGGCTTTCTGCTCCTGTAAAGATTTACAGCCTCGGAAACCCCGTACAGGGTCGCTATGAGTCAGAAACCAACCCCACGGCACATCACCACCACCACCACCACCACAAAGTCAAGAAGTGACTAGCTTACAAGCTTTCAAGAGGGAGCCTAGATCCAGAAGGCACAGAGGAAGGTAGAATCTCCACTGAGTAGTATCCAATCTGCCTGGGCGGGGCTGATGAAAGGAGATGCAGATAGGTATCTTGTGATACAATAGTGAATAATTGTTATCAGGACTGATTGTGAGGGTTGGAAATGTAAAGGTAGGTGTTTTGTAGCAACAGGAGGGGAGTGATTGACTTTGCAGTCTAGGAGCAGAGGTCCCTGGGACCATCAAGGGAGAAGATCAGAGAGCGGGACCCTACCCAGAGAAGCAGTGATGCTTGAGATGGAGGCAGAGACGATGACGTGGAGAGATGGAGCGGCTGGGGACTTTAGAGCCAGAGAGGGAGAGGGGCTGTGTGCTGACGACCGAGGGGCAGGCTTGCGGGGTATACCCTTTGGTTGGTTGAT